TTGATCATGATTCACCCTGTTTGATGACTGTATATTATCCAAATAACATACTGCTACAGTTTAGGATAATCTCTAAAATTATCATAACAACAATTTTATGACAATTATTTTTCTATTGAATGACTGGATAAATAAGGCATTCATGGAAAATAATGTACTTGTCATCTTATTATTAATTTTTGGGTCCAGTTTATATGCATAATTGGAATTTTTGAAGTATGCCTTTATTTTGGTAGATCTGAAACAAATTTTTTCAAGATTATAAAAATGAGATGAACAATAAAGCAGAATAACTACATTTTGAATTAATACTTAAAATAGCTAATACTATACCATTTAAATTTGGTATTTAAAAGAGAAAAGTAGTCATTTAAAAATAAATGCCATATATTTTAATGAATTCAGGCAATGATTGTGAAATCTTTAATGTATTATTCACTGTCTCCACTTCCAAGATAAAGATAGCATTAATAAACTTACTATTATGTGAAAAGTTGAAAAAAGCATTCAAACTTCATTGCAATTGTTACACACAAATCCCAACTACTACAGACAAGTTTCATCAAATATATTTATGGCAACCACACTTGTTTTGAGATTTTTACTGGAATTTCAAATACCCTGATTGTACCTCCCTTGCCGGCCTTCCCTGAATGCATCATTCTTAATTATAACATCCTATTAGATTTTCTTTAGAGCAGTTATAATTATCTGGTTTTTTTCTAATGAATTTATTCATTTGCTTATTGGTCTGTCTCCTCCACTAAATTACAAGGTCTAAGAGACCAGAGAGTGCTACTGTCTTACTAATCACTTATTCCCAGCACCTAGAACCGTGCCTGGTAGACTACTTATAAAAGAATCATTGGCAACTGACTGACTGAATGGATTCAAGTCCTAGCATAAGTGGTCCCTGAGAAAAAAGGAGTATTTTTTCTCATTCTGTACTTTGGTTTCTCCAACTTTGAAACTAAACTGAATCATGTCAAACCTTCAGATGCAGTATTGCTATCTGAGAAAAATATTTAGAAATGCGTAAACAACATTCATGAAAGCATAGGGAATATTTACTGTAGCCTGTGGCATTGCCATGATACCCACAACAATGTTTAAGAAGCCCCTACCTGGGCCAGGCATGGTAGCTCATGCCTGTAATCCCAGCACCTTGGGAGGCAGAGGCAGATGGATCACCTGAGGTCAGGAGTTCAAGACCAGCCTGGTCAACATGGTGAAACCCTGTCTCTACTTAATATACAAAAAAATTAGCTGAGTATGGTGGTGGGCACCTGCAATCCCAACTACTCAGGAGGCTGAGGCAGGAGAATTGCTTGAACCTGGGAGGAAGGGGTTACAGTGAGCTGAGATGACGGCACTGTTCTCCAGCCTGGACAACAAGAGCAAAACTTCGTCTCAAAAATAAAAAATAAAAAAGCCCCTACCACTCAACTGCTCATAATGTATCTCCAGTGAATGAGAGCTAATGTTATTATTATTAATCATATAATTAATGCATTTCTTAACCTTTGAGGTTTCTTTTCTGTTTTTATTTTTTTGGTTTTTTTTAATAATCTGGGCCTCACTGGTACATTATATCCATTTTTACAAAATATAAGGCAATTTGAAATTCTTCCAATTAGTTTTATTTTGAAGGACAAGAAACAAGCATATAGCTATTATGAACATGATAATTTCATTTTATTTTTTATTTAATTTTTAAATCTGTAATTTTTTTCTTGTCTGCAAATGGTGACTTAACATTTTAAAAGTACTGTTCAATCAAGTTCACAAAGCATATTTCCTTTTGTCAGAATTAGGTGTTGCATGGAATATGCGAAAGGAATACTTTTTTTTATAGCACAGTATGTTCAGATTCTGACATAAAATACATAGAAGAAAAAAGTATTGGTTACCATGAACCAAGAGTTCCTGAAAGATGTGAATGTCTTGGTGAAAAGGTGCTATGCTATACATTTCTCATCAATTTATAATGGAAAATTGCTAATAGATGCTTAAGTTAATTAAGTGGAAATATTAAAGATTTCAAGTCTGTTGTCCCAAAGCAAACTGCTTCTGATTGACTAATGCTGGGGATAAACCAGGGCACTGTTATTAAGTGAGTGCTGACCCTGAGAGCTTGTTTACATGAAAAGCGGGCAGGTTTTCATGCTCTGACACACTTCTGCTCTGCTTCTGTCACGCTGCCCCTCGATGGCTCACCTCTACAGAATACATAAAAGGTGGCTACCAAAGGTCAGTGTGTAGGGTTCAGATGCGAGGTTCGCTATCCTGAAGCATCTGTGGCTGGGGAGGGGTAAGGAAGGCAGGGAAGGGTGCAGGAAGGTATATGGAGTAAAAGTTGGTTTGTTGGTCACTTATGAAACGGCAGAATTGGTTCTAAATCCCATAAAACACTGCAGCAATTCCAGACAAAGTATATCTCTGAAGCTGTGTTAGTTTTTCCTAACGTATCTCTTCCTTACTAAGGACTTAAGAGGAGGTTTGGAAGGTTTTCTGAATATTAATAACATTTTTAAAGGGTCCCATTCAGATCCCTACTAGGTTTAGTTCTAAATATATGTGATACAATTTTATTTCATTTTTATCTTATCAAGGATCTTTTTATAGCTTTTAGCCTTGAGGTAGTGAATTCAAATAGACTACTACCCATAAAGTAAGATATCATTGCCTTTCTGCCTTACTTGGCCTAATAACTACTTCTTTAGTGATTCATGGGGTATGTGACCTCTATAACTCTCACAGGTATGGCTCTACTCCTACCTTTTACATCCCTCACTGTCTGCATCGTGCATTTTGAAACTTCATTACTTATCCTCCAATGAAATTCTAAGCTTGTCAAGGACAGGGACTCTATTCTAATGTAGTTTTAATAGAATTGACTCCCCCCTCCTTCTCACTTTCAGCACCTTCCCTAGCAGCTCACACAGTGGGCACTACATAAGTCCCTGCTGAACTGAATTCCGGAATGTGGTTCACTCTCTATAGCATTCACTCTACATAGTCTTTCTGACCTTACTGCCTCTTAGAAATCTTAGTGCTTGAAATGTCTACACAGGGAAACACTGTCAGTGCCCAGGCCTGCTCCACTCTGGGATTGTATATTACCCTCATATTAAATCTTTCGGGTGGGGTTTGACTAGAGCTGTAAGCAATATTCTAACTTTGAAGTAATTAAGTTCCAAAGTAAGATGCTCTGCTATGTTTCAAAAACAAGTTCAGACACAAAATTTGGGTCTCAGTGGCCACAGCAATAGGTTGTCATAAAAAATATTATTTTAATTCTAAGCAAAAACCAGACACATTAAACATAGAATATACAGAAAACTGCAACTATAAGCACTCTCAATAATTTTCCTTTCTGTTTTCAATAAAGTGACTGTTTTCTATCTGTGTAAGATGTAGCAGGAAAAAAACATATTTAATGAACTAACAGGTGGGTAACTTAGAAGTGGACTAATTAACAAATGATACTGGGCTGCAGTTATTTGGCAGATCCTCAAAAAAAAAAAAATACCTGAAAGTGGCCTTTATATAACACTTGATAACCCTGAAAAGCATTTCATTTTTTTCAGAGTACTTAAAAGCTTAATTCTCTATCCACTGCTATTATATTTCACTGCCAATTTGAAGAAAATGAATGATTCTAATCTTGGATTTCACAATCAGCCTTTAGAGCCAGTTCATAGTTGGTACTTAAAACAGCTCTAATGCAGATTATTGTGTAATTACGGTAAATGCCAAAATAATATAATTAATCTTAACTACTTTGCCAAATTAAAGCATCATAGAAGAAAAACAACAAGGCAACGTTTGTTTTTTTTTTTGTAAGCACATACAAAATTTTATAATTAAGTATATTCTTAAAATTCAAAAGCAGCTAGTATCAAACTGGTAAAAGAAATTTAACCACATCTTTGGACACTACCAAGAACAACTGTCAAAAATATATCCTATTTGCACTTATATTAGAGATAGTTTTCATTTCACTGTCTTTTATCAATAGGTTACTAAAGCATAAAACATGTTTACCACTTTTAAGTTACAAAGTCAATTTTAAAGCTAATCATTACAACTGTTTGAGCCTCAGCCACCATGACTTTATTCCTCATGTCACCCAGCACCTATGTAGCAGGTGTACTGCTGGAAATAGTGAATGCTTGGGACTGACTGCCATGCGGCTTGAACAAAATACCTTCAAGAATCACAAATGACAGTGACAGGAAAGAAGTGCTCTCTGTTGCTAGGTTAATCCTTCCACAGACTGGAGCTTTTGCCCCAGAGACATTCTCCTAGGCTGGAGGGGATAGAGGAAGGATGGGAAAGGTGTAAGTGAGCTTCTGAGATCAATTCACATGCTTCTATTAGCTGAATGTGGCCCTTATTCTATTTTTAAATCATTTAGATAAAATGTGACAGTGGATGCATATAAAGGAAAATTTAATTCTACCTTTGAAGGGATCCTTGTTAGAACAGATTTATTTTTCCCAAATTTGAAGTGATTTATCTTATTCCTAGTCACTTTCCAAAATGGACTATATTAAACAAGAACTCTTTTTTTTTTTGAGATGGAGTTTCACTCTGTTGCCAGGCTGGACTGCAGTGGCCTAATCTTGGCTCACTGCAATCTCTGCCTCTTAGGTTCAAGTGATTCTCCTGCCTCAGCCTTCTGAGTAGCTGGGACTACAAGCGCCTGCCACCATACCCAGCTAATTCTTGTATTTTTAGTAGAGATGGGGTTTCACCAGGTTGGCCAGTAGTCACCTCATGACCCGCCTGCCTCGGCCTCCCAAAGTGCTGAGATTACAGGCATGAGCCACCACGCCCAGCCTAATAGGAACTCTTATTAATATTTTTTCATTATTCCACCAGTATAGGTAATTCCCCCGGCAAACATCAAGAATCACTTCAAGAAGCACATCAACCAGCCTAAGAACTACTGTAAATTTTTATAAAAGATCATTTTTGAGCTGACAAATACTAACTTTTAGGTTGGACAAGCAGTTGTTGAGGAAAATGTGCCACCTGTTCAGGAACAGCTGTTTCTGACTGACACAGAGCAAACAGGTCACCAGAGGGTATAAGGCCTGAGGAGAAAGAAGAGGAGGTCACAGGATAGTTTATATTTCAACAAACCAGGTAACATACATTCTCTGTACCTACTACCCCACCATCTCCCTCTGGGGTCCTGGGGGCAAGAAAGAGGATGCTGTGTAGCACAGCACTGCCCAATGGATGCAGGGCACTGGTGTGCATTTCACAAATGCTTTCTGATAATGCTGGGGATGGAATAACCAAGAATTATGAATAGCATATAATAAAATGAAATAAGTTGCATGTATAATAATGCAGAAATCTGATTCAATGAGTTAGACTTTACTTGTGAGGTTTAAAAACAAACTTACCATCTTAGATTGCTCTCTTAATCTCCAGAAAAAAAACAACAGGAAGGCACACAAATTTTGAAAATGTTATTGGCTTTTTTGCTCACAGACATCGAGTAATTTGTCCCTATCTTAGAGGTAGTTGTCTACATATATATATATATTTTTTTGCGTGCAACCTTCTGGTAATTAAGGAAGATTCCTAAAAGAGATGTTATTGCATTGGTAAACTCTACCAAGACAAATTTAACCACAGGAGGAATTTGCTTATGACCAAATAAACAGAGGTGCTACTGTGCTTTTCCTGCCTAGCTGGGCCAGCTTCCCACAGCAACTTGAGAAGACAGCAGAGGTAATGAGCAGCCACCCAAAAAATCATACATGCGGAACCCATCACCATTTTGCTAAGCCAGATGTCACAGACCTTTATGATTCCCCCTAAATCAAGGCTGGAAAAGATTTAAATAAAAACGTTAACGGTCTCATCTGTTAACTTGAATTAACAAGAAACAACTGCCCACAAAGAAATTGAATGCTTAACAATTCATTAGATGCTTTTTAAAAATTAATTTAGTTTTAAAGGGACTTGGAACTACTGCTACCATTGAGCGCAGCCCTAATGCCAGTCAGCAATCTAAAAAATATGCATACGGTTAGTCGCAATGACCAAAGAATGTAGACACGTGAGCAAATTTGCCACCACTAACAGCAAAGCAACCCTAGGTACGTGCTCAAGTCATGGTGGGGATGTTCATCCTCTGGAGACTAGGATAAACCATGCTAATAGCCAGATCCCTAAGCAACTTGCTTTCTCCCGACTTTCACACTACAGCCATTACAGCACTTGCTGATTCATAAACCAAAGCTTTATTCACCACAGCGGGTAAAAGGTGGTGGTCACTTAAAAGACTTTCCCATGCCGCTCTTCAGTACCAAAACCTTCCCAAGAATTATTTTCCAGCATTCAGAGAATCGTTCCTATGGGCAGCTATTTCCCAACTCCTTTTCCTGCCTGTTTCAATTTTGATTCTAGTATCAGGATAGAAATTACCCAGGGCAGGCTCCTGGGGATTGAGAAGAGAAACTGTTATTATAAACTTTAGCCTTCAGATCGGAAAAAAGTTCTCAGAAATTAAAATAAAAATCAAGTTGAGCCAATCTTGAAAGTAAGCAACAGACTCCTTAGGACCAGAGGGTCATCTGAGGTGACGTGGTGGAATCTCCTTACATGAACATCATTCAATCATGGCCAGTACAAAAAGCTAGCTTCAGTTTCAAATGCTGCCTCTTTTTGAGGGAGGTTTAGGTATTTTTCCCATCTATGGAGTCCTTATGATCCTCAAATAGATTCCTGCCTAGGAATTTTAGTCTGTGCAGTTTTGTTTGTGTTTTCGATTTTCTCATAGTTACTAACCAAGGAATGCTTCTTTCTAGAAGAAAGTTCCAGCGTGGTGTCATACAGGCTTTCCACAAAATTTCTAAGGCAGGGAACATTTACTTCATTTTTAACAGCCTGAAATAGAGATGCATATGACTATTATATTAATAAAAGTGTTGATTTTGTGATGCAATTTGAAGGAGTTTTTAGAAATGAAAATGTAACTCACAGCAGCGACTGGAACAAGGATTTCAACAAAAAGCCCGGCCAAGGCATGCTTGATATCTTTGTCTTTGACCTCGAGGAAATAATGTGCACATTCCTGGGAAGCAGAAAAAGGGTATAGGGAGGGACAGTAGATTGAAATGTACACATAGAATGTATTTAAACAAGTTTCAGTCAATAGCTCTTAATTCAATCATATATCAACATAGCATATTCCATAGTCTATTAAAAATCACTGGATTCAAACATTTATATTGAAATTTATATGTTTGCAGTGGCCTCAATGACATTCTGCAAGGCTGGTTTTTTCACTCTTCTATTTCAAATCACTATTCTAAAAGGACAAAGTATCTCTAACCAGCGAGCATGCATGTATCCACCGAATCACTGGTTGATTGATTCAGTCATTCACTTCCAATACATTTCCTTTTATTACTTAGTGTGTGTGGGTCTCTGGGCTCCTGCTTAGCCCACAGACACAGATCCCCAGGGAAGGTAAACATGGGAAGAGAGGCAGAAGACATCAAACTTATTTTAGGCCCTATGCCTGACAGCCTCGGGCACAGAGCTGTTTACTTGCTCGCTTTGACATTTTAGGTGCGTTTATTATTCACATAGTTTCATAAGCAAGTCTGGAACGTTTCCCTTTCCCACATCTACAAGGAAACCTTTAGAAGGGTTCCTCAAGAAGGATACTACTGCCTGTGGACTGTTGTCCTATGTAAGGGTGTTCTTGGTTGCTCAGGGACTCATTCTATAGGAAAATGGGCCTGCTAACATTTTTTTTTTTAAACAAAATGTCAACTTTTTTAAAAGCAAAGTTGGCAGAATTCTGCCCATCTCTCTCCCCTTCCTGGCCTTATTGATAGTAACTTATTGTGATCTATATCAGGTATTATTTTCATTCAAGAGTCCAGGGCAGACAGGCGCCACAGCTCACACCTGTTAATTCTGGCACCTTGGGAGGCCAAGGCAGGCAGATCACTTGATCCCAGAATTCCAGACCAGGAAATGGAATGGACAATATGGTGAAACCCTGTCTATACAAAAAAATACAAAAATTAGCTGGGCGTGGTGGCATGCACCTGTAGTCCCAGCTACTCAGGAGGTTGAAGTGGGAGGATCACTTGTGCCTGGGAGGCAGAGGTTGCAGTGAACCAAGATCAAATCACTGCGCTCCAGCCTGGGTGACAGAGTGAGACCCTGTCTCAAATTAAAAAAAAAAAGAAAGAAAGAAAAGAAAAGGTCCAAGGCTACATATATTGAATAACATGTTAATATCTACATTGGCTATTTCCCTTTATTTTCTGTTGCCATTGGGAAGATTGCCAAAAACAGCCCCTAACGTCCTCATTCTATCAATATCATATTAAGACCTCAGCTCAAGGTTGGCAACACCTGTATGGGAAGTCACTGAAACAGCTTTCACATACAGATGAGCTCTATAGTTCCCAGAATAGTTGTTCTTTTCCTACATTATTTTGCATAAGTATGTAATACTCTCTGAAGTCCTAATTCGTGTATGTAGATACAAGAGTGGGACACAAATAATAAAATATTGAACAGTTACTGAGTGTTCGTCATGTGCTAAGAATCCTCACTACCACTCTCTAAGGTTAGTGTCGTTATCATCACCTTGCTGATAACGGAAGTGAGGATGAAAGGGGTTAAGTGTGACGGGTCAGGTCATAGAGCTGGTAAGTGCTGGAACTTGAATTCAAACCCAAGAAGTTTGATACGTAGTCCCCCCCCCCCGCCAATATGTAATAGTTTCATTGTGACATAATTTATGTAGTATGCAATTCACCCATTTAACATATACAATTCATTGGCTTTTAGTATAATCACAATTGTGTATCCATTACTACTGTCAAATTTAGAGCCTTTTAATGATACCCAAAGGAAACTCTACTCCTCAGCAGCCATCCGCAACCTCCCTATCCACTCCCCCTCCCCAGCCCTAGACAACTGTTAATCTACTTTCTGTCTCTATGGATTTGCCTATTCTGGACATTCTATATAAATGGAATAACACAATACAAGGCCTTTTGTGTCTGGTTTCATTCACTTAGCATAACATTTTCAAGGTTCATCCATGTTGTAGCATGTGTTAGCTTCACTACATTTTATGGCCAAATAATATTCTAATATAGGTATTCTCTATCCATTCATCATTTTATAGACATTTGGGTTGCCTCTACTTTTTGGTAACCATGAATAATGCTGCTATGAACATTTGTGTTCAAGTTTTTGCATGGACATGTATTTTCATTTCTCTTGTGCGTATACCTAGGAGTGGAATTGCTGGGTCATATGGTAATTCCAGGTTTTGCTATTTGAGGAACTGCCAGAGCCAGGCTGTTTTCCAAAGTGGCTGTGCCATTTTGCATTCATACCGGCAGTGTATGAGGTTCTAATTTTTCCACACCTTCACCCAGAATTGTTATATTTTTGACTGTAGTCATCCTTGGAGTCGTAAAATGGTAAAGCTTATATTCATAATCCATCCTTCAGAACCCTCTAGCAAGGCCATCACCAAATTTAATTCATAGCAGCATTTTAAAAATTCCTTCAAATACCAAAGTTTTGTAAACTCTAAGAGCTGAGTATTCTGTTAAATCCTCCTTAGTGACAATTCTTTTGTTATGTACCATGATAGGTACTGGGCAATAAATATCAAACCTGTATTGTTTAGTTGATTTTTAAAAAATTAAAATTCCTTTCTATAGTAAGAATAAAACAGATTTCTTTATTATAAGTCCTCATGCCTGTGAATGTCAATGTAGCCAACCCAATGTTATCAATTTTAAAAAATGAAAAAAGTCAGCTATATTTTATTCACAGAACAATATGTACCAATGGGTGAAAGATAAAAAAAGTCAACAAACAAGCAATCCCACTGTATACTCTCCTCCAAAGATGATATGAAAATTTAGAAATGAAGTTATGTGCCTGCAACTGTACTATTTGGTTACAAAGCACTTCATGAATTATTTAGACAGAATGCCTCTCCATACTGACAAGTAATTGGGTTTTCATGTTGCAGGTTCATCATTTTCAGGACGGGAAGTGCTCAAGTTGATAGCCCCTCAGCTCTCCTGCCTAAGACATTACCTGCATAAACTGAAGAGAAGCCTCGAAATCCTCCACTGGATACATCTTAATTCGAAAGAATTTCATCCCCATTATCAAGCTGATGATGCTTTGAACCACATATGGGTTCTGCTCTTTGTGCCGTAATTCTTTTAGCTCCGCCATAAATTTCTTCTTTACAGCAGGGAATCTAAGAAGACAACAGATGAGATTTATCAAATAATGGGTGGGAAAGGCTCTGCAAGGGGGGCCTCCGGCATCTGGGAGTGATTGGGCAGAGCAATGGAATCCTTCAAATCAGCTGAAGTACAACAGCCATGATTTTGTAAGGATTTGATGTTTTGGATTTGACAAAGGATCCAATTTTCTTCTCCTTTTCCCCTCTTATACTGTAAGATGCTCATCATCTCCAACAGGCAAGGGGCCAGATCCCGGGTCATTTAGACCATCTCAAAATAGTCTAGCTCTTAAATTGAGCATGACAGAAAGCCTCATGTCCTCAGGCTTGGCCATTTTCAACATAGTTGCAGACCCCAGAGCCTGAAGTATCAAATAGTGAATCTATTAGCAATAACATACTAGGTTAGTGATTTTTGACAGTGACAGCAAATAATGTTGGGATTTGTATTCCAAATAATGCCAGGAAGTATTCCTGCATCTACTTTTAAAGTTTTATATTATTATTTCCTTTATAATTTTGGGATAATGATTATTGAAAAATATATTTTGGGTTAAAATGCCTGGTAATGGGAATATTAAAATTATATCTAAAAGGTAAAGATGAATGGGCTGTCTATTACATTCACAAAATTTTACAATTTTATCTGGCAAATACAAAACAAACAAAAAGATGCAGTCCAGTCCCTATCCTCAAAGTATTGGTATTGTTTGAAAGTAAAATAATACTAATTACAACAACAATAATATTATAATACAGGTTTGAAAATAGAACAGATCTTACAGCTAAGAGAAAGCAGAAGCAGATCTTCGAAGTACCTAAGGGTAGAGAAGTGTACACATAAAAATTGTCCAGCCAGGTGTGGTGGCTCATGCCTGTAATCCCAGCACTTTGGGAGGCTGAGGCAGGTGGATCACCTGAGGTCGGGAGTTCGAGTCCAGCCTGACCAACATGGAGAAACCCTGCCTCTACTAAAAATACAAAAATTAGCCGGGCATGGTGGCACAGGCCTATAATCTCAGCTACTCGAGAGGCTGAGGCAGGAGAATCGCTTGAACCCAGGAGGCAGAGGTTGCGTCACTGCACTCCAGCCTAGGAAACAAGAGCGAAAATGTGTCCCTGAGAATGTGTCACTGCACTCCAGCCTGGGCAACAAGAGCGAAACTCCGTCTCAAAACAAACAAAAAAACAAAAAAACCAAAAACTGTCCAAACCACTAAGTCTGAAACAGCTGGTTTGGCTATTCATTAAAAATACACACACACACTCACACACACACACTCTCTCTCTCATACTCACACACACACTTTCCAAAGAAAACAGTCTAAGATTTATTGTATTTTGTTTTCTGAGACTATTAGCCTGAGGTTCCATGAATAATTAGAAGCAAGCCATGATTAAAAAGGGTAATTGTGGCTGGGTGCGGTGGCTCAAGCCTGTAATCCCAGCACTTTGGGAGGCCGAGGCAGATGGATCACCTGAGGTCAGGAGTTCAAGACCAGCCTGGTCAACATGGTGAAACCCTGTCTCTACTAAAAATACAAAAATTAGCCGGGGGTGGTGGTGTGTATGAGGCTGGAAAATCGCTTGAACCTGGGAGACAGAGCTTGCAGTGAGCTGAGATCATGCCACTGCACTCCAGCCTGGGTGACAGATCAAGACTCTGTCTCACCAAAAAAAAAAAAAAGGTAACCGTGATTATAAAAGTTAAAGGTGAACTAGCAGAAGTTTGGATCAACTCTTAAGATCTTGAAGTAGAAATATCAGGACAAATAAAGTAGGCAGTAAACATATAGACATTGTTGAGGTGGGTGGATCACGAGGTCAAGAGATCGAGACCATCCTGGTCAACACGGTGAAACCCCGTCTCTACTAAAACTACAAAAAATTAGCTGGGCATGGTGGCGCGTGCCTGTAATTCCAGCTACTCAGGAGGCTGAGGCAGAAGAATTGCCTGAACCCGGGAGGCGGAGGTTGCAGTGAGCCGAGATCGCGCCATTGCACTCCAGCCTGGGTAACAAGAGTGAAACTCTGTCTCAAAAAA